TTATTTTTGAATTTATGAATTTATTATTTTAAAATATTATTTTTAGAATTATTATAATTAGAAAAGAACTTATTTTGGAAAAATGGATTATTTTGAAATTAAATTAAAGAATTTAAATTGTAAAAGGAATTGTTTTAAGTAAATAACTTTATTATTTTAGAAGATTATTTTAGAACAATTTTATGATTCAAACTCTTAATTTTGATTATCTGATATGTTATGATATTATTGTAAATAATTAATTGTATTGATTGTTCCTTATTGTGATTGCGAATCGTTAGGAGTTTATGACTATAGTGACATGTATGACATGAATAAGACCTAGAGACTTGTGTGTACTGACTTAGCAAAACGAGAAGAATTAGAATGGGAAAGTCATGGTTCATGTGATCGGATAAGGCTGTTGATGTATCTTTCAGGCTCGCGCCAGTGGTTGGTGTCGCCAGTGGGAAATTTATTTCGTCACCCGGGTTCTGTTTGAAGTTCGGACTAGGCAGAAACAGATTACGTGTAGTCCTCTAGGCCGCATGTGTAGCGGGATTAGAAGCACGTAGAGGATTTGTGAACAGTCGGTTATCTGATGACAGGAACATTGGCTCTATGTGAGATATGTATCAGTGACCTGTTATAGAATTGCTAGTTATATGACATCGTTACTCGGATGATTATTAGTTGTTGTGAAATACGGACTAGTTATATTTCTTTTTATACATAGATCGGGATTAATATTTAATTATCTACAATTTGAGACTATGGTATATACATGAGGGTTTCCTTATTTTGATTATTTAGCTCGACGTACTACGGCTCAAGTTGTAGATTTTTAAGAATTAATTCCAGCTAGTGTATGACCCTGTACTTGGATGATTATTCTGATCGCTAGCTGTATGATCGACTTGTTACTTGGTTGATTTCCTTGGATTTATTCTGATTATTCTATTCTAGTAGTAAACTATATTTAGATTATCAGTATTTCAGTTGCATGTTTCCATTGTTATTACTATTATTGCATTGGTCGCACGACCGTTCTATTCTTCCTTTTGGGATCTTGCCGTGTGCCATGCACGCTGACGTACTCCTTTCTCTCGGGATGTACGTCAGATTTAGAGGACGACAGCTATAGTTCGGACTAGTACACGAGCCAGAGGATCCTCCGCAAGAAGGCTTAGAAGAACAAGTGGAAGCTTAGTTACCTCTTTTAGTTAGTTGATGACCCTAGTTTACTTTTGTAGTACTTTTAGTTTCTGCTGGATCGTTGTATTTTATATTTTTCTAGCATTTTATTCAGACAGTTTTGTATAAGGGCATGTTTGGCCCGAATATTATGTCTAGGATGACGTTTCAGTTGTGATATGTATTATTTTGTTTTGAGTTATTTATTATATTCTCGTTACTGTGATCGGGGACATGTGCCTTTGCTTTATATTTGCTTGATGCTTAGCGTATTAGATTGAGGAGAAGGGGTCTAGTACTTATTTCTCCTCAGTCTAATACATCGCGGGCTTGTTCATGTTCCGATTCTCTGGTATTTTAGGAAGCAGGACGTGACATATATTATATCAATTTTTTTTTGGAGATAGAAGCGAATCTACATCTACATATTACCAGAAAAAATTTACAGGAACCTGATAAATTGCCTCTGATCAGTCGACCAAAGACTAAGCGTCAGTCGACCGATCAGTTAATACTCGCATGTGCCTGTTTTGCACATGCAACCGGTCGACTTAAGTGTATTAACCAGTCGACTGGCATGTGTGAGTTTGTGATTTGCTTATTTTCTTTGGCACGTGAGTCGATCGTTAATACAAAGTTTGGGTCAACATATCGAGATATGTGCTTGGACACTGGAGTACACGTTTTGGGGTTTTTGACTACACGAGCATTTGGAGGTGTGTGACATACTTTTTGAGTTGTCGTAATAAAAAGTAACATATATTGCATTTCATGATTGTGTGGATGCCTGAGTGAGGTAGTTGGTATTTCCCACAATGAGACCGCGACTGGACTACACTCAGAGTGTGTTAGTTTATACTCCGCAATGAGATCTTGATTGGACGACACTCTACGTTGCATCATTCCACAATAGGGTAACTTGCCTCTCTCCGCAAAATGATTGAGTAGGGTGTTTGTTACCATAGAATATTGTTAGCGCCTTACAAGAGCATCGTTATTCCAGATAGAGAATTACACAGATTGCACTCATGCTCCCATGTTAGTTACACGAAGGTAGGGTATATAACACTAAGAATGGCATACATGGCATATTCTATGCGAGATGATTTTATCAGATGTTTATTCTGGTGACTGCGCTATCTTCCTAAGGGTAGAGTGTTTTGACATGACCTATATCGGTGGAGGTTTGAAGTTGTATTTTTTTTTTCATGCATAGGATTTGGAGTTGATATTTAGCGATCCATAATTTGAGATACGAGGTATATACATGAGAGTTTCCTCGTTTGGATTATTTCACTCGATGTACACATTCTCGTATTGTGGATTTCTAAATATCAATCTCTGTTTAGTTTAGGATAGATAATTTTATATCAATATGTACTAACATTTATTTTCATATATATACTCCTAACCCCCTTTCTCCTAGGGGCGGTTGAGATGATCTCGCTAGCGCTTTGACGCTCGTTGTTTCCCCTCTTTTCAGGCAACGAGTCAGGGGCATTGAGAGTCGCAAGTTGATGGAATTTCATCTTAGATTCTATCATTATTTATATTAGTAGTTATTCAGAGGTCCATAGTGGTTTATGATTTGATTTCAAACATTTAGAGTGTATTTCATTTTGTAAAGGCTGAGTGTCTTAGTACTATTTCATTTGACTCTATGTATTTGGATATTTCATATTTATTTTAGATTTATCAGTTGTACTTCATTTTATTTAGTTGGAACATAATTATGAGTATTTAGATATCTCTTTCCTTTATCATGTTCATTGTAGTATTACCTTATTCTATCTACTTTGTGCTTGCACTTGTTCTTTGATTCCACTAGAGAGATATTACTATGATGGTTAAACGTGTTGTTGCATAGTGTGTGGTGCATGGCAGGTTTGGATTACAGCCTCGTGTGAAACTAGAGGCGTCACATGGAGATCGGTAGAGACAGAGATAAGGAGAGAATTTGTTTAACACATGTGGCTTATTTAAAGAAGGTGCTACAGCGATTTAATGTCAATATGGAGACGAAGCCAGTCGATGTACCTTTGGGAGCCCATTTGAAGCTTTCAACCGATCTTTCACCAAAGTCAGTTGAAGAAAGATAGTTGATGTCGAAAACTCCTTATGCGAGCGCAGTGGGAAGTTTGATGTACGCTATGGTATGTACGATGCCAGATTTGTCACAGGCAATTAGCATGGTTTCACGATACATACACGACCCGGGTCATTGGGATGTCGTGAGGTGGATATTGAGGTACATTTAAGGTACTCACAATGTTAGTTTGGTGTTTGAGCGGGACACTAGTGGTGGGTAGTTATGTATTGGTTACGTTGTTTCGGACTATGCCAGTGATTAGGATAAGCACCAGTCAACGACGGGATATGTGTTCACTTTAACCCGTGCGCCGGTGTGTTGGAGATGCACCTTGCAATCTACAGTTGCTTTGTCGACGATAGAGGCAGAGTGCATAGCGATTACAGAGGCTATTAAGGAGGCAATTTGGCTTTGAGGAATTTTGGAGAACCTTGGTGTTTCACAGCGGTCTGTCACCATTCATTGTGATAGCATGAGTGCTATCTATCTGACAAAGAATCAGGTTTTTCATACAAGGACGAAGCACACTGACGTTCGTTATGACTTCATCCGAGATGTTCTTGATGATGGGGATGTGGAACTCGTGAAGATCCACACAAAAGACAATCCACCAAATATGATCACAAAGGTGGTCCCTAGCAACAAGTTCGATTATTGTAAAAGCTTATTGCTGATTTGTGCTTGTTGAGACATTTCGAGGCTATTTGGATAAACTACGGGCGACTTGATCCATTGAGAGAGGATGTATGTAGGCAACCGCATTGGTGCAGCTGGATTTGGAGAGACGACGTATTGGTGCTCGTGTTGGTGTCGGCTCTGTTTTGGGATCACTTCGCTGAGGTGGAGAATTATGAAAACGGTGAATACAGGAAAATTCGAACCTATAAGAAATGTCTCTGTTTAATCGATTGATGAATAGTATCAGTCATCCGATAACATGCATGTTACAGGGCTGGAAAACATCGTTCAGGTCGGTCGACCGATCCACCCAATCGTCGACTGATGGAGACTTATCGGTTGGCAGATAGCGGTTAATTGGCTGAATTGATTCCTAGCCTGTTTTGGATTTGAGTTTGATATAAATAGAAACACGTTTTCTAGGGTTATGTGAGAGGCGTTAATTAGAGAAAATTGGTTGTTTTGAGCCTTTTGAGAGGGAGATATTTGTTTGTGAGCGAGATCTTTTGGTTAGGGTTATTTTCAGTGTTTGAGAGAATTGTAACCCATTGTATTTCTCCTTATATAGTGAAATCTCCCCAACCTCTCCCGGTGGACATAGGTAAATTGCCGAATCACGTAAATTCTGTGTTTGTGATTGGTTTTGATGGTTATATTGTGGACTGTAGTCATTTGTGATTCTTCATGCGTTGCTTACCGACTCGTTGGAGATTGTGTACTCTTCCGCCGGGCGCAACAAGTTCATATATCAAATAAAGTAAACTAAATCTTTAAATTTAAAATAAAACCACAAAGGACTAACTATAAACATAATCAGACAGAAAAAGATACACTCAACATGACGAGCACGAACCACTTCACAGTTGATCGCAGTGCGCGGGCATGAACGACAGGCTCTCCTTCTCTAAATCATACAATATCTGCATATTCTGCTGCTGAAAGTTCCCAATTATCGACATCCCCGACGACCCCATCACCGTCAAGCAAAGCAGACCCGTACTCGAATCAAGAACCATGTAGTTCTCTCCGGGCAAATCAAAATCCGCTCCCTCAAAGTGAAACACCAGCTTTGGCACCTCCACGTCCGCCGCCGACGAATCCTTCGGCATCTGGAAGCAGAGATCGAGCCCGACGTCTGACCCATCAGCGACCTGCAGCTTAACTTGCGACAGAAACGCTTTCTTCAGCGGTTTGTAGGCCAACGTGTCCAGGTAGGTGATCGATGTGCCGGAGTCTATGATCAGACCTCCAGTCCCGTCGTCTTGAAGAGCGAACGCCGTGCTCGGAAAACTCAGTGGGGTTTTCCCGACGGTTATCCCTTTTAGATTGACATAGTAGAAAGATGGCTGAACGCTGTTCTTTGCTAAAGGGGTGGTTTTGATAGCACTGCCGTTCAACTCGGCGAGGGACCCGAAAAGAAGCGGGCTTTTCTTTGACGTGTCGTCTAAAGAAGTGAGGCAATAAGAGAACTTCCCGACGTTGAGTTGCGATGCTAGAGACAACGGGCCTCGACCGAGCCCCACGAGGCCGGCGCCCTGCGAGAATCCGGACCCTTGGTTGGTGTCGCCGCAGCCAAAACCAATATGGGGAGTCTTGACTGACCCGAGCGTGAAGGTCTCTGAGCCAAGAACTCCCTGCGTCGACGAGGAGTCACCATAGGAGTAGAGATACTCGCAGGTGCTGTCTGAGTTGCACATTGAGGTCGGGAGAGCCGAACAAAGGTCGCCTGTGCACGGGAGCTTAGAATAGGTCGAGGATTTCTTCGGGTCGAAAATTTGGGTTGACTGGTCGAAGCACTCGACACAGGGCTTGCACTGTGTCCAGATTAGGTCGCTGCCCGTGTCCACGATGGCAGAGAAGGGGACGGACGGAGTGCCAATCGAGAGGTCCATGAGGAACTCGCCGTTGCCGGCATGGACCGAGGATCGGATGTTGTTGATTGACGCGGACGAAGCGGCAAGGTTCGACGTGTTTGCGTGCAGGCCGGTTAGCCTGGCCATCCTGTGGTGGCTCCTAACTGCTGCTCGCTGGATGCGCTCGAATTTGGTGAGATTGTGACCAGAATCGACATGGGTGAGCTCGACTCGAAAGCATCGAGACGAGGAAGACGCCGGAGAAGCAACGGCTAAGAGAAGGGTCAGTAGAAGCAGTGGCATGATTGATCTCCCCATTGAAGATGAAGATGAAGAAGATGGAGGAAGTTAGCTTAGCTAACTTGTTTATATATTGTACAGTTGAATTGAGTTTGAGAGGATTTAATTCTTTCGTCAGCTATTAAGGAGTCTACTGGTCTCATCTTCCATGGGAAAATGAGTGTTTGTGAGGTGTCGTTTAGGTTTTGACTGGTGTTAGGTATTTATTCGTTGAACCTATTCAATGAATTGATATTGGACTTATTGGGAATCAAGCCAAAATTATTTGTCTGTCAAAAAATTTTTTTTGATAGTGTTTGGAATATGGAGACACCTGATCCCTAATTGATACTGATAGAATATTGATAACAAACACCAATAATTGCTATAATCATTTAACTAAAGAAATTAACGATAGTTTTTTTTTTTTGGGTAAAAACAAAGGATAGTTTTTTGCTAGCTAAGAGTAAGTATATCAACCAGCATTTTCCTCCACTGCTATCGATTGATATGTATAAAAGTTATATAACCGTTTTAAGGCCATCTATTAATTATACAGCATTATATTGCCATACTTTGATTTATTTTGATGTGCATGTTGAAGTTTGTGAAAAATAAGAACAATACAGTTAAATGAAATAAAATATATCAAGGATTGTTTCCGGTGCACAAAAACTCTAAAGTTCTATTTTAGGTTAAGAATTATAATCTTATATCAAATACGTCCACAAGTTGAGCATCTTTAATTGGTAAAAACTGAAACTCAAGCGGCTTCTTTTTTTCTCGAAAAATCAGTCTTCAAAATTACCTAGATGGTAAATTTGATACCACGTGAAAAGTCTTCAAGATTTTGATTAGAATTAAGAGTTATTATCTTATTTTATAGAAAAATAAAAAAAATTAAAATAAAATAAAATAAAATAAAATGATGGATCTTCACAAGAACAATATTTGTGGGGTTTGCCAGTTCGATGTGACAAGATATGAGTAACAAGTAAAGTAGAGAATAAAGTAACGAACAAAAATCAAGGGTTTGTTGAACAGCTTATCAGACAAAATAAGTTGTCATAGGAGGTTGGAAGAAGGTAAATTAAGCCTTTGTTTCCTTTGCAAGTTAGCGTTTTAGAAATGATGATGATGATGAAGGGGATAAAGAAGGGTGGGTGTTAGATCTGGTTGAGGTTTGGTAAGAAATTGCGTGGATTAGCTGCCTTTGGGTGGAGACTCAGCATGAAACATCAACAACCAGAGAAAGGAACGTCCCGCCTAGCAATTCTAAAAATTACCCCACCATTGTCACAAATAATAGCTAGCTGGGATGAATTACACTAAACTCCCAAGAACTTTCAGCATTTCGCAGTAAGCTCTTACAACTTTCAGAATCAAGCTGAACCCCCAATAACTTTGAAATTACAAACAAAAAATCCAATAAGTTTTCTCATTTTGCAGAATACCCTATAAATTAGAACTAGAAAACGACATAATAGACATATTGCAAGACAATTTTAGCAAAAACTAACAATACAACTATGATTCGAGACTCCAACCTAGACATGAGCGAAGAGGAGAACGAATAAAAAACGCAATAGATTTTTGTTTTTAGGGTTCAAAATATATAAAAATGTCATAATGAAAGGGTTTTTTCTTAATAATTTAAGGGATATTCTGGACATCAAATAATGTGTGTTGTACATGTCCTGTGAAAGATAATGTTGTCAACTTTGGTAGTTTTCTACATAATTTATTTATAATGTGATTTTGAAAGTTATTGGCTGTTTACTACAAAAGGCTAAAAATTCCTGGGGGTTAAGTGTGATATACCCTTATAATTAGTGTGATATACCCTTATACTTACTATGCTAAATCTGAGTTTGCTTATTCAAATTTAATCCAAAAACATGAAATATGGTCCAATGAGGAGCATGTTCGTAACTAATATATATAGAGAAATAAGAAAGGAAGAAAGATCATTATTCATCAACCTAGCTTTCTTAAATAAATATTAGGAGGATGTTACAAAATAGGCATAAGGTAAAATCATATCCAATTAAATCTCATAATTTCTCAACAATATCTCATAATATCTCTTAAATCTAAATACAAATAATATGTAATCACTAGTAGAAAATGGGGTTTTACCTACGGACAAATAGCGACGGAATTTTCCGTCGCTATATGTTACGTTATAGCGACGGAAATTGTCGTCGCTATTTTTCCGTAGGTAAAAAATTTTACCGACGGAATATTCCATTTTAGCGACGGAAAATATTCTGTCGCTAAAATATATTACGACGGAAAAATTTTTCGTCACTAAATAGCTTTTAGCGACGGAATTTCCGTCGCTAAAGAATTTTTAGCGACAGAAATTCCGTCGCTAAAAAATTCTGGGGCAAAAATTTTTTGGGCGCGGGCGCCCAAATTTTTTGGGTAGCCCGCGCCCGAATTAATATGCCCTCGGTTTCCCCCCTGGTTCAAAACCGGCCCCACCTCTCCACATTTCCCCCCTGTCCGACTCCCCTGGTCCGAATCCCGACCCCCTCTCCTCATTCCCTCTGTTCGATTCCCCCCTCGCCGCCGCCGCCGTTCATCCGCCGCCGCCGCCCCTCTCTCCCCCTCTCTCTCAAGGTATGTCTCTATCTCTTCCCCCCACCCCTCAACTCTCTCTCTTTCTCTCCCCCCCCATCTCAATCTCTCCTTCTCTCTCCCTCTCTCCGTCGGCCAACGCCGACAGCGAGCCGACCAACAGCCGCCGGCCGCAGCGTTGCCGACGAGAAGAGGGGAGGAGAGAGAGATGAAGGGGGGGGGGAGAAAGATGGATTTGTTATTTTTTGTAATTATAATTTAATTTTTATAATTAGAGTTTAATTTTGGTAAAACAAAAAAATTGTGCAAAAAACCCAAACCCTAATAAAAATGTTCATCTTGATGAAATTATAATATAAAAATTTAATTTTAATTAGGGTTAGGGTTAGGGTTAGGGTTAGGGTTAGGGTTCGGTGAGGGTTAGGGTTAGGCGAGGGTTAGGGTTAGGGTTAGGGTTAGGGTTAGGGTTAGGTGAGGGTGGGGGTGAGGGTTAGGGTTAGGTGAGGGTGGGGTGAGGGTGAGGGGTGGGGGTGTGTTTGAGGGTTAAGGTTAGGGTTAGGGTTAGGTGAGGGTGAAGGTGAGGGTGAGGGTTAGGGTTAGGTGAGGGTGAGGGTGAGGGTGAGCGTGGGGGTGATGGTGCGGTTGAGGTTGAGGGTTAGGGTTAGGTGAGGATGAGGGTGGGGGTGAGGGTAAGGATAATGGGTTAGCGTAACTATTATATCATTAATTACGTAGAAACTACACACACCGTACACTCATATTTTCGAGCCGTAGAATACCTCGTATAATAAATACTATATATAATCTCTTTATTTACTTGTCATATACGCGTACAGGATCGTTGGCGGATATGAGACCATCTTGTTCGGTTCGACAACCTTTTTGTACACGTATGTGAGAGGGGGCTTATATATAAATATTTATTGGATCTGTCCAGTGTGGACTTGTTAGGTATGTAAACATGGCGTGTATATGTATTTACTTGTGTTCTTGTGTACTTTGTTTTCGTCAGAGTTTCGGCGGCGCTTACTCATTGTTCTCCGTGTACAAATTGCGGAGGGATATGCTTGAGTATATCCTTCCCACTATAGTGTACTCGGAGAATAACGGGTAGGTGCTGCCAAAATTTTGACAAATTGAAAGTACACTTGAACACACATAAATACATATACACGTCACATTTACATACCTAATGGGATAGAAGCCTTCCTCTGACAGCCGATCACAGATGCGGTCCTCTGAACACACGTTTTCATTACTAAATTAAAATGATATATATAAAGATATGCTCACTTCTATTAATTTTTAAATTCTAGATGCGGACAGTTCCTGACAAATCGTTCATGAGCATACAATGTGATCGAAGGCATCTAGACACCCGATACAAGGATGAGATTGAAGCTTTCTTAGCCTACTCTGACACAAACCCTCTACGGTCGCTAAGCGGGTCGATTTTCTGTCCTTGTAAGAATTGCAGGAATGGTAAAATGCTCGCTAGGAGTGACGTAAGTTTTCATCTGTCAATCAATGGATTTGATAGCTCTTATGTATTTTGGAGTCATCACGGTGAAGGCGTCCCGGAGATACAATCAGAGGAAGAATTCACTGAAGTCAGCAATCCGACAATTGACACGACTGATATGTTAGAAGATATTCTTGCAGCGCCGTCGATGAGTGATGTCAACACTAATGATGTGTCTCAAGATGTAGATCGATTGATGAGACTTTTTGAAGAAAACGAGTCACCGTTATACGAGGTAAGGAGTTCACAAGGCTTTCTTTTATGCTGAGGCTTATTCATATCCAAACACTCAGTGGGATGGCTGTTATACATTTTGAGATGTTATTAGATTTGTTGAGGAAAGTCATTCCAGGTGGCGAGAAAAGCATCCCCGCGACCTATTACGAAGCTCACAAGATTGTTGATACGCTGGGGCTTGATTACAAGAAGATAGACGCCTGTCCTAACGACTGCATCTTGTACAATAAGGGTAATGAAGCTCTGGAGGAATGTCCGACGTGTCATGTATCATGTTGGAAAGGAGAAGCTACAAGCACATCCGAAGGTGGTGCATCCAATAAGCAGAGCAAAATCCCTATGAAGGTTCTCCGATATTTTCCAATTATTCCTAGGCTGCAGCGGTTTTATATGTCTGCCGAGCTGGCTGAGAATATGTGATGGCACTCGACCGACCGCAAAGAGGACGGAACTCTGAGGCATCCTGCGAACGGTGAGGCATGGAAGCACATTGACCGTATATACCCTGACTTCGGTAAAGAGTCTCGGAATATTAGGCTGGGGCTTGCTAGCGACGGATTTAATCCGTTTGGATTAATGAGCTCTGCTTGGTCTACCTGGCCAGTGTTGCTGACACCGTACAACATGCCGCCATCGATGTGTATGAAGCAACCGTACATGATACTGTCACTTTTGATCCCTGGAAGATATTCTCCTGAAAATGACATCGATGTTTTCCTCCAACCATTAATTAACGACCTGAAGCTTCTCTGGGAAAAATGTGTCAGCACTTATGATGCTTATAGTAAGGAGTCTTTCTGTATGCGGGCAATGGTCATGTGGACAATTAATGACTTCCCGGCATACGCTAACTTGTCTGGATGGTCGACGAAGGGTCAGATTGCTTGTCAGATTTGCATGTCAGACT